GTAACTGAGTTAAGTTACAGTTACAGATGGAGAAAAAGTAACGAAGTTAAGTTAGAGTTGCCAAAAAGAAGTAACTGTAACTGTAACTTCGTTGCACGTAACGAGTTACTTCCCAACCCTGGTTGAAATCATGTTGTTGAATCTGCTAAGTTTTTATTTACTTCTACTGAAACATTCGCTGGATTTGAAGAAATAGATATGAATGCTTTTGGAAATTGCAGCCTCGATCGAATAAAATGTTGGTTAAGGTGATGAAATCATTTCTTTGAAATCAAATAAACGTCTGGTAAGGTCAAAATTCAAACGAACTTTTTTCTGGGTGTACGCTACGTCGCCACAGTAAAACTGTCGTCGGTGAAATACACGGTTGGACTCGAATAACGGGGGGGCAAACGTTATTGTTGCACCATATAAATCGCGCTTGATCGCGGAGGAGTATGGACCCGTATATCAAAACTACTGCCGGCCGTGCACCCACTGTAATTTGTGGCCGGTAATAGAAGAGGGAAGCGCGCATCCGACGAAATTATTATCCAGAAAATACATGAATTCTGCGGCGACGACGGCGGTACTTCGGGGTCGCTCAAAGGTCGTGGTGCGCCTCCCTAGCGACGATACTTCGGGCTTCCGTAGGCAATGTGCGAACCGACACTGCCGCCGACAACGTCCAGCCAATTCCCGTAATGCACAAATACGGCGTATCGCGCGGTAAACGCTATTTCCATCTCCTTTTCGTCGGGGAGCGAGGTCTACGATAGAACAATTTTGTAAGAAACTTATGAATTCGTCTCGCATACATACATAGAACGATCTCTCTGTCTCGAGTACGCCGGTCGCGGGACGGATGTGCCGCGCCATCTCGCTTATACGCGAATATTTTTATCGACGGGAATCCAATTCGTAATTTCAAAGATAGCATTCTGGGAAAAAGAATTGCGGCGGTAACATGTCCAATCGTTCGTTCCCTCGCATCGTCATCCAGCTACTGTGAGCGTCGAAATACTCTCGAAATCGTGGGCTACACGGGCGAATTCCGGCAGTGGAGAAGTTCCCAACTCGTTAAAGCTAATATCGCAGCCTCCACCCCAATTGCTAATGCGTCCGCTCGTGCGCACCCACGACACAACACTTTATTTTTATTTAAAGTGTGCCCTAACCACACCCCTCCGTCTCGGTCGCCGATTGCTCGACTGGCTGGCTGGCTGATCGGCTCCCGCCTCGTTTCCGGCGAGCCGACGGGGTGCGGGGGAGATTCAATCGATTACCGCGATTAAAATAAAATGTAAATGGCGGTACGCGCGCGCGACTCGTGTGTTATGCAAATTCGGTTCTCCGGTAATCACTGAGTGGAAGCTGATGTCTTCCTCCGGCGCTAATGGCCCGGGAAAATGCAAAAAAAGACGAACGGAGAGAGAAAGAGGACCGATGAAAAGAGAAAATAACGGCACGAAGTGTATTGCGGCTTGCACGTACATATATACATGCGTACATACATGCCTGGCGAAACGTATGAGTGTCGGTGAACGCGTGCGCGACAACGAATCGAAGAGAAGAGGAGAATGAGTAGCTCGCGAGGGTTGCACTCGAGGGTGCAGTTGACTTCAATAGTTTAACGAAATTGCCGAAGATCCACGGCTCGCTTCTCATCCCGGAGATTTTCCGATTTCCGGACTGCTCCGATATTTATTTGTTCCTTCATGTTTCACGACGCCATGTAATAATCTCAATGCGGTACACAATCAGAACGGGATCCATTAATGAAACATGAAACTTTGCCGAAATGCGCATAACTTATTATTTACCCACATGACTATGTTGCAATATTAACTCGCACTGCTATACATTGTGATAAATACACCGCGTTACGAGGACAAATGAAATTATTACGGCCCGTTTATAAAATGTTTATATAATGTTGCGCAGTGCATCGTTGTAGTACGCTCCAACAATGCATCGGCGCGACCTTTAATACTCCCGAGTTTAAAAGCGCGGCCCGTAAAACATAACGAACCCATTTATCGCGATAAGTGAATGAAAAATATCCATTAGCGTACGGTAACGTGGAGTGTATCGTCGAAACTACGGTAATCTACTACGGTATCTACTTGCCGGGTACGCGCTTATAATACATTACGCCGGCCAAATGTGTTCTCGATATTACATATTACACGGCATACCGCAGCCATTAATCTCGGCCACTTGCCGCGGCCGTAATTAATGCTAAACCAACACGCGCGATCGCGCACTTTCTACCGAAACCGAATGGAACGTCCACCCTGATGAAACCGCACGCCGACGGTAAGCGTGACGCGCGATTCGACGCGTATCTGCAACAGTGCCGATAGGCAAATCGAATGGCGATCGCTATTTGGGAGGGAAGGGGTTGGTTAGGTCCTGGGTTGGTGCAACTGCACGACGGGACGGGCGGAAACGAAGACATAGAGGGGTAACCGGCGAACGGGAGGGAGGGAGAGCAAGGAGTTGAAGCAGAATGGGGCGCTCGCAATTCGGACAAAGATGCAGAGCTCAACCGTGCACGCAATTGCGGCAGCGTGCGCGTCACAGGACACCCGGCGGTATCAAAAGGACGGTAGGTAGGTGCATGCCGATGCATTCATTGTACCGCAGACGCGCACGCATACGCACACACATTGTCACCCTTCCGCGCGGAGCAGTGCAGCGGCGATGCAACGCGCGACAGGCAGGGACCCGCCGCGTTCGGCCGCGCCAGGATGATTAATTAGTTGTCGCGCGTTCCATGTCACCGTGTCACTCTTGTCACGGCTTTGTCACTTCGCTACGAGCGCGCACGCACACGCGTGTCCCGCGCCGCAGACGCGCTATCGCGCGGACCAGGATAGCCGCCGCTGCACTGCCCGCGCGCGCAAAGCAAATTGCATTGTAACCGGGGCTGCAACAGGCGCGCCATTAATCAATGCCTGGGACACGGTGCGCGATGCGTACTGCCAATTTCCAAGTCGCGCCCCTGACGACGGCCCTCGCGGGCAAAACAACGAATAGGTGCGCGCGGCCGACGGTATGGAAATGAAGGCGGCCAGGCCTGGGGACAGTGCGAAGCCCCGTTCCGCGGGTTTGATTTTGTACTCGACAGTAAGCATCGATAAATCGGTATCGAATACTGACCGTTTGATATAATTCGTAGACTCGTGTGATCAGGTAAAACATTTATTACTGATACGCGTTAACTTAATCTCGGCTCAAGCTCGAGTCTCGCGCGTTGCTGGCAAAATCCTATCTCTACGGATGCAGCTCGCTCGCGACGCATTCAACCGGATTGCATGTCTAGAGTAGTAAAAGCGAGCGAAAGCAGCCCTGGTACGGAAGGTCATCGGCCACCAAGCCGGTTGATAACAGTAACGTTATCATATCCGCGTGACGTCATCGCGCCCGGATGGTGCCGATTTCTTTTAACGACGCTTGATCACTCGATTTACCTGTTGCGCCGATGCCCGGAGGCACTTCGTCGAGACGCATCCCCGCGCGCCATAAATATCGGACTCGACGAGAATAAAGATATCCGCGACGTCGTTTTCCTCTCTTTCTCCCGCTTTTCCCCTTTCTTTTTCTTCTCCTCTTTGCGTTCCGTCGAGCCACGTGTCAGATAGCTTCAACACGCTTTCCCGTTTTATCTTTCAGAAAATGAAACCGTTAAGTACGCGCATCTTCATCCACTTACCATGCTTACTTCACTTTCCGTGAGATTTTTATTCTTTTTTTTAAATATCTTGTTTACAATTAGTAAAGAAAGAAGCATCACGTTTGTGCATAACGTGCGTATAACGAAAACATTTTAACGCTGTTTTATTTAATCGAAAAGATTGCATCGAGCTCTCGTTAATGTTGTTAAAAGTAGAGGAGTATACTTAAAGTCACCAGTGATGAATAAAATTGAAATAAAACTTCTGGTTGATCCAACTGGCAATATAATTAATTAAGTGTTACAATTGGTACGACGTTTCGACCCAAATATCAGGTCTCTATCAAGTAACCGAACTGCAAACCAACATGTCACAATTTTGAAGATGGTGAGAAATTACAAAATACAAGTGAGAGTGCACATATGTAAAATTTATGCTCTGCGAACATGTATGCGCGAGGTAACTTTTGCATATGTACACTCTCACTTGTATTTTGCAATTTCTCACCATCTTCAAAATTGTGACACGTTGGTTTGCAATTCGGTTACTTGATAAGAATCTGATATTTCAGTCGAAGCAACTGCAACATTTAATTAATTATATTGCCAGTTGGATCAACGAGAAGTTTTATTTCAGTTGTTAAAAGTATCATGAAAAATATGTAGTTTAGAATTAAACGCTAACATGATTTATTTTTAACTAATTAAACGTAGAAGGCCCTTTGATCCAGATCAAGTATTCGACAAAAATTTAATTAGACGTCTAATTAAACCACGCCGAATTAATTTCGAATAAATTTTAAAGTGATTTGTAAAAGGGATAAAATCAAAACATAAAACATACAAATTATAGTAACAAATTATAGCCTTTTTATTCTATGTACACTTGGATTATTTATTCTATACATATACATTTAAAACAGTACAGCTATTCTTGATTGTATACGTGGAATATATTTGCGCGTTACGTCAATACAATTCACGAGACACGCGGATTCAAGTGCTCAGTGCTTGACAGTTAATTAAGAATCAATTTACAGGATTGCGGGTGATGCCTGTAACGCATAGAAATCAATCAATCTGAATGCAGATGTATGTATTCACGGCATTCGGAACGAACACTTGCGCCCTTCGTATTTTGAAACATTCTTGTCCCAGCGAATGCTCGATCATGTGCAAATCAATTAGCGGGAATCAATCAATTTATTGGCTTACGAAGCGACTCCTCGCTTACAAACATTTGTGAAATGTTCATGCGCACATTCGGATATGTATCATTATGTAATAATAAATGTGTAATATTTATTATACATAGTTTGCGTGACCGCAATCCAAATTTTATTATATTTAAAATTTCATTATTACACACAACACTTTTACTTAATAATTACATGTATATAAAATATAACCCAATAACAAAAACTAGATAAAATCTTTTTGAAAAATGGTTCGTATATAATACATTCGTGATAAAATATGTGATAGAGAATTTTGTAAAAGTTCTTTTATCAGAAACGCATATGTAACATGTATATAACGAAATTATTATTTTACGAAACTAACTTGGCTGAAATATGGGAATCACTGTCGGGAGGTAACCGAAACGAGATATTACAGACTGTCTGAAACACATACGCTCCGCTGAATACGATCTAATTAACCAAGAATTTCGTCGGCTTCGTAAGAGCTGCTGGATCAAGCTGGATCTGATAGAGCGGGTCGCATCCGGTGCGCCGGCAATGAGAGAGCCCGGGTCCTCTTCTGACGCGGGAATTCCGGTGAGGAAACACGAGCTCGGGCTGAAATTTTGGGCGTTAAATATGTAATTGCGCTAACGAGTGAATCAGCGAGGTAGAGCCGGAACGGAATAGAGATAGAAGGGAGAACGGAAGGTTCGCGACGCGAGGGTGGGCTGCGAGAAAAAAAAGAAAATGGTAAATTCGACAGAAGAGGACGAAAGAAGACGAGAACGATAAAAGGACGGTCCTCCTCCCGCCATCGCCGCTTTCTCACCCTCGCGGTTGGCTTGACGTGCACTGCCACGGCATCGGACTTAGTCACGACTTTGGCTATACGCCCGCAGCCTTCGTTTTATTATTTAGACCGCGCAGGAAACGAGCTGGTGGAATTACAGCAGGTAGAAATTAATGAAAGAACGTTGAGTGGCTGCTGAGCGGACGGCGACTTTCAGAGGAGGCTGGTAGCGTCGAGAAGTCGCTAACTGTAATTGAGAAAACGAAGGAAAAGCAATTAAGGACGATTTCCAACTCACGCGATGGACAGCATTTATGCGATTGCAAAATAAAATATGTTCAGTTGATATACGAGGATACAATGCCTGGGAGTATCGTGTGTCGCGTTATTCCGGCAACGAATTAATTGCCTGTCACTCCGTAGTTTGTGCAATGAATTCCGAGGAAATCGGAGAAGAATTTTATCCCGAAGCGAAAGCCACCTTGAAGATCCACATCATCACTTTCTCATTTCTCATCCCTATCCTTCGGCGATGAAAAACTAGATTGTTAAAGAAAGACGGTTCCGACTCAATTAACAACTTCCTGCCTCCATTTGAGGCAATCAATCTAGAGCAGAAATCGCCGACTGCGTATATTTATTTCCTGTCTTACTGCAGTTGACAATTTACGATGCAATAAAGTAATGAACGTTAGCCATATGGCGATCTATTATAAGACTTGGTGATCTCGACATTCTAAAGTTCTCTTCTGTTCAAGAGTGAACTTGGTGCATTTTCACGAAACAAATTAACGACATACTTTTGCTAATAAAATTATTACAGATCCGTTACTTTATTAATTATAAGCTCCGAGTGCAACTCTACTGAAATAATGTCTGTATTCCAGTAGAAAATGAGTCACGCGATGCGTCTAAAGCGAAACTTGAGTTTCTCTTTCTGAATTTCCTTCTCGATTAAATATATTAACAAACTTAAGAACATGGAACAGTCGCTCCATTAAATTATCTTCGATTTATTCGTGATATCTCGAAAATTTGCCACACACATGAAAGTCTTCACCCTTTCCAAAGGTGGCTCGCCTGGTTTGATTACGCTACCCTATACCGGCCGCCATTTTCGCGCGGGGAAAATCCATCATGATCCCGGATTTCTCCCGGACACCGCCGTCATTAAATGATCGCACAAAGCGTGGCGAAGCCTCGGCTTTAAGATCTCAAGCTGTTGCTAAGGGATTGATGGTGTTACCATGGCAACTACTGAGGGCCTATTGTTGCACCCCGCTGGTAGATCCGCGCTCCCCTCCTCTCCTCCTCCTCACCCTCCGTCCTCTCCTTGCACCCCGTTCCCTCGCATGGCATATTTATTTGCATGTACTGTAGGTACGCGCGTCTTGCGCGTCCACACGCACGCTACGCATCTCCAAATGCACGCGTGTGTGCGCGCGGGATGCGTGCATGCGTGCGTGCGTGTCGTGCATTTATGCATCTATGCCAGTGGTACCAAACCCCTTGACGTGTTCGGGGCAATGTCCTGAGTTTAAAGACGAGGGATCGAGTCGTTGAATCCTGATACGAACGGTTAAATTTTCTGTCACGTTCTGTCGAATCAGCAATTCTCCTACCTGATTTGATCCTTTCCCAGAGAAAAGATGACTCGCAAATGGACTTCGGACGGAGCAATGAATTTTAGGGAAGATAATAAGCTCGATCTTTTTCGTCGAATATCTTCGTGTCTATTTTATCTGTCAACTCGCGTACTCGCGTAAACTACACGGTCGGTGTACGCGCACGCGGTTTCTAGCTACGCCTATATACTCGGCGCGAGACACTACCGTGTCTCGTGATTATGATTTATATAATGTAAAATGTATTTTATCGAAGCTTTAGCGGATCTAATCTTTCGGGTAAATTACGTGACACTACAACTGATTCACCGAATTAAAACGCAATCGACGTCAAATTCTGTTTCTCGTCTGTTTTGTGACATCGTCCGATAGCAGAAAAAAAAATAAAAAAAATATTACGTAATTAAAAGCGTAAAAGTGCAGTCGCGCGATAAAATTACAAGAATCTCTCTCTTGACGTATATGAGATATCAAGATGAGGATAAACAGCAACTGGCAGTGCTATCAAACCCGCGGAAATGTTCGGGCCAACGACCTCCGTTTAAATGCGAGCAGCCGGGCTACGAGCGCTCCGCTGGGTGCGCCAAAGAAAGCCCGTTTAAACTTTTCCACTAAAGGTAAATTATACTCGTCGGGTATGGAGTATTACGGAAGTACCGCGTCGGCAAACGCAAAATTGAACTGGGTCAGAATGAGAACGGCAAATTCACGCTTCTTCGCGATGTTGCCGCAATCAAAGTCGCGTCGCGGATGGGCGGCTTTTTGCCGAATGTCGTCGCGCCAACCTACTGTACCACTGGTGCCATTTCGGACAAAGTGCTCATTGGGTTCACCACGGTTTCTAAAAATATCACGTAAGAAGAATCGTTATCGTTTACTGGATTAATCGGAGTTTCGGGCATAGAGGCGATAAAAGTTTATCGCCGCTCTTGCACATCCTTAAAACTCGCGATACCGTCCGCAGAATTGGTTCTTTACATTTTCATTTTGAACGTAAAATATGATAGTGTTACGCATGCACTCTAAGAAATATGGATGTAAATTCCCACCAGTGGTGTGAAATGAACACCCATTCAGGTGTTTATATAATTCTCACCTTATCGATGTGAAATTAACACTGCTTGGTTAGTGTGGAAAATTCACGTTGCTGCGGTGTGAGACAAGCATATTGCTACGAATAAGTCTGCGTTCAGAAACATCACCCGAGTGCCCCAGTGTATCATTTTATCCTTGTTTAACGTACGGTGAGCAACAAGGATGAAACGACACACTGGAACGCTCGGATGACGTTTCTGAACGCAGCCTAACTGTTATAGTTACGTATGGCGTCGTCATGGCAAAACAATATAATATCAAAGTTGACACCGCGTTTGTCGGTGTAAAAGGGTTTGTTTTCTGTTCCTGCACTGGTGAACTAGTGCAGTAAGCTAGAATGAGAAAAAATATGCTTGTCTTACTCCAATTTATTGCACTAGTTCACTAGTGTAGGAACAGAAAACAAGCCTAAAGATTTTATATCACACGTGCACGGAAAAGTGCCTCTTTTTTGACAGTTTTTCGTGCCCAAAATAGACATTTGCTGACACAATACAGTTTGCACGCAACATGGCGTCAACTGTGCGGAAAAAGCCGTGCGGTAAAATTATTACCGCACACTTTAGCGCTGTTTTTGTTTATCTCCCAGCACAATTGCCGATCTCTCTTCCACACGCCGTCTTCGACAGATGACAGGTTAGCCTCAAAGTTTTTACGCGTAACTGTCAAAAAAGAGGTACTTTTCCGTGCACTTATAATATAAAATAGTATGTGATACATGTGCGGGAGATTGGCTATTGGCCACTCGTGCGGATGGGCGCACGAGCCGAAGGCGAGCTACCCCGCTACTCGTGGCCAATAGCCAATTTCCCGCACATGTATCACAATATAGGG